GGGAGTATGATACAGCCATGCAGTCATCCAAATCAAACAAAGAGGAATACTACTTCTTTTACCACTACTGCTACTATAAATGACTCAGTAGGAATCTACATTAGTCATTTTTCATTGAGGATAAAGAATATATACATTTGAGTATTGTTAAATTACCTGTCTTCAAGTTTTGCTCCACTATTTGTGTTGAAATATTCATTGCTTCTAAAACTGCAAGAATTGATGCTAACCATTGGCATGACAAGGGCATGTCAAAAAGAAAAGAAAAAAGAAAAGAAAAGGGGGAGTTCTTCTCACATGTGGAAAACCACATATGTTGAAGTCAAGAAAAAAACATTTTTTTATCATCTCATCTAAAATGGATCAACTGAATAAACTAACTAGAAGATAAGAAAATGATTTACTGATTCATGTTTACAGGTTTTTCATATTTGTAATTGGCAATTAATTGTTAAGGTAGGAAGGGGTCCAAAAAATTACATTGAAGATTAAAATGATTTACTGATTCATGTTTACAGGTTTTTCATATTTGTAATTGGCAATTAATTGTTAAGGTAGGAAGGGGTCCAAAAAATTACAAATTCAATTAGACAGTTTAAAATGAAATGTAGGTTTAAACCCATTGTTTGATGATGGGAAAAATGCAACGACAAAAAATCACTTTAAAGGTGTCACTTTTAAAACTTGTACAGTACTAAAGTATAAATTGTATGTATTTATTATTTATTTATGTAAAACAACAACCTTTTTAAATTGTACCTTTACAAACTTTTCCCTCATAAAATTAAAACTGCCATTGTTGTAACAAAATAATGGATACGATTTTTTTTCTTTTTTTTTCGATTGCCTTTTTCATATGCGGGAGATACCATACAGCAACATGCTATAAGACCAATAAAAACTATTTGATTTGGTTTGCAGAATGACCTGTATGTTCTCCGCAAACCTGTCACAAACTGTGCTTTCAGTGTCGAAAGCCCAATTTCAAACATAACATCAAGTGTAGCATCAAGTATTGGCTCAAAAGCTGTCATCCACAAAAAAAATATAAATATACAGCATGCATTACTAGTTCTTGACCACAAGAGGGACACAACAGGCTAAACGAGGAAGCGAACCTTACAGAATTGCAAGGCCCGAGCTTGTTTTCGGTTCCGGGCCAGATGATTATCTTTCCTTGCAATTGGTTCAGGGCTAATCATACAAAGATAAATAAAACGAGAACTGTTGAACTATGTCATTCCGTCAGACCCAATTGTCTCATTCAGAAAGATGAAAGCGTTTGAGCAATGCTTCTGAACACCAAATGTTCACAAAGATAATGGGAGAAATATTGAAACACACCAAATTGAAATCTGCCTTTTTCACTTCATGCAGGCATAGGTGAAGGGCGAGAGGCGCAGATCGATGGCATACTTCCTCTAGCGAGTGAAATTCGAGCTCGGTGACAGTTGGGTATAAAATGAGTGGAGAGCGGCCAGGACAGCATTATGCAAGACAGACAGCAGTGTAGTAACGCTGCAGCACTTGGATGGTCTCCTTATTTTTTTTTTTTTATTTACAATTCAAAACTAGTGTCTCATAATACCTTTGTATTATTGATCTTTAATATTTTGTTGGGTTTTTTTTGGAGTATTTGAAGAGAACTCAGTCATGTATAATTGTCTACAATTACTGTAATAGTATCTGATTGGTCTTATTTGGCATTTGGAATGAACGCAGCTTCTCTCTCGAAGCTTTAAGATGTGGCCGTTATGCATAATTGTTTGCCTCGTGACCGCCTGGGCCTTTTTCATGCGGTAAAGAAATGGACACAAAACCTTCTGTGCAAACCCGACAATTGTGTCCCTCATTTACAAAGTTAGCTTTCATCAAGCAGGAGCCTCTAAATGAATATTTTTACGCTTGCTGTAATATTTTCTTTCATCAAAAAGGACATGGACCAAGACCCTGTCAAACATTTGAAGTTTGTTCTGCTTGCAAATGTCATTCCAAAAGATGCCTTGAAAACAGAAGTTAGCTCAAAATCAAGGATAATCTTTGTTTCAACGCAAAAGCTGAAGTTCATCAAATCAATATTGTGACGACGTTCTGGTTATCACAATATTGTTTGACAAGTCGGGAAAGTTTATTTCATTTTCAAAAAGTTAAAACCAAGAATTATAATACCTTATAAGAGCATGAAAACTTGATTTACCTTATTAAACTAACGCCCATCTCTGCATTCCTGCTACTCATAGTTAAAAGTCCAACGAACTTATTGACTTTTGTACAACTTGCCATTTAAATAGAACTTTTAAAACAGGCTTTCACTTGTTGTACTTTTCTACCTCGGGTAGTCAAAACTCTTAAACACTGTTTACTCATTTACCAACTGACGACGCAGCATCAGGAGCAACTCGGGGTTCAGTATCTTGGTCAAGGAAAGTTCAACATGATCACAACAGCACGAGATCTAACCCACAACCTTCAGGTTGAGAAACAACCACTTTGCCACTGAACCACGTGTTTCACCTTTGATAGGCTGGTTTGATAAAATGCATTCGCACACCCTCTCTTCAGAAATAGCATTTATTCCAAGCACATCGCTATACAGGGCGGCCTGGTCGTTGACTGGTTTGCATGTCGGCCTCACAGTGCAGAGGTGCAGGGTTGTATTCCAGTTCCGTCTTTCCTGTGTAGAGTTTGCATGTTGTCCCCATGCCTGCATGGGTTTTCTCCGGGTACTCCACTTTCCTCCCACATTCCATAAACATGCATGGCAGGTTAATGGAACACTCTAAATTGTCCATAGGTGTGATTGTGAGCAGAAATGCTTGTTCGTCTGTGTATGCCTTGCAATTGTCTGGCAATCAGTTCAAGGTGTACCCCGCCCACTGCCCGAAGACAGCTGGGTTCCACCACGCCCCTCGACCTTTGTGAGGATAAGCGGATAAGTGTCTTTCCATCCTCTGATTGTTTTTGTCAGAGCAAGCCAAGTTCGACGAGCCAAAGTGATCCACAAGTCATTAATATACTTAAAAATCTAAATCTCCGGCGAGTATTATATATTTATTATATATTGATAAATACTGATTCTCTGATGTATTTGAAACACATACACAGTCTACAGGAATAAAGGGGACGTCACTTGCTAGCAAGGACATAGTTAAGGACACTTCTTGATGGGAGATCAGATTAGATAAATCCAAAGTAATTTGCTCGGAAATGCTGAGGGTAAAGCTTACCCAAAATATCGATCCGGAAGATTGTTTGAATACGTGTCTTATCATCAACAGCAGCATTCTACATCTCACCTTGATGGGGAAGTAATCCCGCATGTAGTCCCAGACTTTGATTCCGCACAAGCAGGACATCCTACGCCCTCCGCGTGCGGGAGTGTCATAGTCAAAGAACCACCAGATGGAGTAGAGCACGCTGATCAACCAGTAACGCGTAAACAGCAGGTAGATGAACAGGAAGATGCACGTGGGTGCTGGGGAGACAAAGATATGTATATTACATGTTTAAAGCCCGTTGGAGGTCCATACTGTCAACAAATTATACTGAATTGATCCTCCTTTTCCCCCGAATGGGAATGATGGAGGGCAAATGGCTAGCGCAGCATAAGTAGGCCATCAGAAGTGGCCTGAGGAGAAAGAGGCATGATTGCACAATGTGACGCTGCAGTTACAACCATTTGCCGTATCTCATTGCGTCATGTTAATCTCACACTCGCGATAAGGGAAAATCACCACAAATTCCTCAACGCTTCCTCAATTCCATGGCACCAAGATGCCACAAGATGGTGGCAAAGTAATTTTTTCATTGCTTTGGCCAGACCAACAAAACAGCAAATAGTTGAGTTTTTTGGGGTACTTTTTTTTTTTTTAACAGTGAAAAGCGGGGGACAATTTCCCCCAAAATAATCTGCACATAGTTGAATTCACAAATACTGAACCATGAATATGCAAGGTGCTGTTTGGCTCCCTCTCTTGGACACAAAGTTGCAAAATTGCCTTGATACTTTGTTGGAAGAGACTTAGCACAAGTGAGAAACTTCCACTCACACTACATAGCTGCAAAACACATTTGATGAAGCCTTTGAACCGAAACAGTGTCATCTAAAAAAATTTGCCTTTTCAGGCACAGTGGTTACTACAGTGGACATCTTATCATGTTATCAGATTACAGGTTGTCATGAAAGGGTTAACAGTAGAAGACTAGTATTAGTATATTAAATTCAGGTCATGCCAGTCACTGGACTCAACAATGCGCATAGCCAGAAATGTGATAAATTACACTTACCCAAGGCAAGGAAAGAGAAAACCCATTGCAGCACGGCGACGGTCTGTAGTCTCCTGTGGAGGGGCACGCCGACTGGGGCAAAATCAATCTTCATATTGCTCGAAGGAAAGACAGGCAACTTGCAGAACCGCAGCTGGTGGGAAGGAAAAGAAGGCAATGATGAAGGTCCAAAGTCTGCCCTTGCTTTCATCACCTCCTGATTGACTGTCTTATCTCAGACACTCAGTGTAGGATTTGATAAATCGCACTTACCATATCACACCACATCTGGTCTTTGACCCAGAAAGTCACGAAACAAGACAGAACATTCAAAAGTGAGCGTATATTAGCACTGAGCAATAAGATTCTCCTGCTTTGGCTCTTTTTGTATACTCTCACTGTGGCAAAGGGCAGGCTTCATCAGACTGAAAATGTCCGTCTCTGTCAAGGCAGCACCATCTGGCTGAGAAAAGAGAAAACTGCATCTCAAGATGAGCAAAGATGATAATTGCACATAAGTAGTTTCAAACGCTTTAGAACTGTTTTCAAACAAAGAAAAGTGGGAAATGCTATGTTATATGGCCATCCTAGGTGACGGAAAAATCGCCAATAATGTAAAAAAAAATGAAGTGGGGCCTTGGAAAGTGAAATCAAAATACTACTCTGATTTTGTATCTGTGTCATTATTTGCTGGCATTTTGCATACGATCGCTTTTCACCATTTATACATATTTACCATTTGCATTTACATATTTAGTGCACACACGCACATATCAGTTACCATTGAAAAACAAGGCAACAAAATGTTTAGCAAACTTCCTCTTTTTTTAATGTATTGATTCAATTGACAATAAGGAAAAATAAACATTTTGTGTCTTTTTCTGTATGACCTCTCATTCTACCGCAAGCACATAAACAAATACATAAATAAGAAAAAAAAAGACAACATGAAGAGAAGCAACATTGACTGTGTAAATAAAACAAAGAAGAAAATTAGGTTTGGTTACAGGAGTAAATATGGGCCTTTTTAGTTGAAGTCAAAGCTATGCTGTATGAATGCAGGGAACCACCACCTTTGCCATCTTGTGGAAGAGAAATAGCTTACTTCTGCCTACAACAATACATCGCTGGCATATAGGTAGATGAATAAATATACTTTTTTTTTGTAAATAGATAAGACATTTCCAACCAGTTACAGTTCCATGTGCCATGGCACAGTGATTGAAAATGATACTGGTTAATTAATGTGGACATGAAGACAGTAAATCTCTGCTCATATTTGCATTTTTACGATCAGTTGTGTGCATATATACCTTCGAAGACATAAAAACTACTTATTGCCAACCTGCTTGTGTTTTTGCCTAAAAATGTTATGGTCTCAACATATGCTATGAATTTATTTACACATACAATTGCATACAAGCACACTCTATATACGGAATAAACGTAATATCCAGAGATGTAAGTAATTATTTCGTCATTGCGAGTTTCATAAATATTGATTATCCCCCCGCTCATCAGTTTGAAGGGTACGTTCTAAAGGCACCTTGCGTTAATCAAGTTTCTGGAGTTGTCAGTTTTTAACCGGAAATAGTTTTATGATTAAAAACAAAGTTCATTTGCCCGACGCGAATTGGGAGTTATGCTGTACAGTTATTTAAATTCAAATAAGTAAAGGCATGAACGTATTTCATAATAATAATAAAAGGGATCTCATAAGATTCGTGTTTCTCCCCATTAAAATATTAACAATTTCAGATGGTACAACCGGACATCAGCTTTAAATGTTTAACTTGATCTCATTATTCCGGTTTGTGTCTCCCGATTCTGAGCGGGTGAGGGCGGGGCCGTTTTTCCCTTGCAGTGTGGCGTGGAGTGATGTAGCACAGAGGATACGGACACAGACGACATCCGAGCAGAAAACTCTCATTACGATAGATTTTTAAAGGTGAAAGGATTGGCAATGCATGCGTGCACTTTAGAAGTGCGATGGATTTGCGTTTATTTTAATCAAACCTGAACAACATTGGACTCAACTCGGATACGGACTCGCCTCCATCGTAAACAGCATCCTGTAAAAAAAAAAAAAAAATTCGGACCCTTTTTTTTTTTTTTCATTTGCCCGACGCGAATTGGGAGTTATGCTGTACAGTTATTTAAATTCAAATAGCTAAAGGCATGAACATATTTGATAAAAATAAAATGGATCTCATAAGGTTCGTGTTTCTCCCCATTTCGGTCTTAAAATATTAACAATTTCAGATGGTACAACCGGAAATCAGCTTTAAATGTTTAACTTGATCTCATTATTCCGGTTTGTGTCTCCCGATTCTGAGCGGGTGAGGGCGGGGCCGTTTTTCCCTTGCAGTGTGGCGTGGAGTGATGTAGCACAGAGGATACGGACACAGACGACATCCGAGCAGAAAACTCTCATTACGATAGATTTTTAAAGGTGAAAGGATTGGCAATGCATGCGTGCACTTTAGAAGTGCGATGGATTTGCGTTTATTTTAATCAAACCTGAACAACATTGGACTCAACTCGGATACGGACTCGCCTCCATCGTAAACAGCATCCTGTAAAAAAAAAAAAAATTCGGACCATTTTGATTCTTTATCGTCTACTGTTTTCTCAAGGAACCTCAGCATGGCGTGGCCTTGCATCAGCAGGGCGTGCTGCATGGCTCGCTTCTGGAACCAGATGGACAAGGCTGACATTGCGGTGCCTATGGTGTTCACCAAATACACGGACGCCTCGGAGATGCAGCACGTCCAGCTGCAACCTCCATTACGGGCCGGGGTCGCCATAGAAACCCAGCCGCCTCGCACCCATCGCCGCACCGCCACCGCAGGTCCACGCGCGCCGCCGCGGAGGTGCGTGTCGGAGGAGCGAGTGTGCAGCTCGGTCATGAGGGAGGACTTTAAACACTGGAGAGTGCGACCCGAACCCAGCTGTAAACCCAAGAACGAGTACCACGGCCCAGAAATACCGTTCAACAGCGAGACTCAGTACCAGAAAGACTACAAGCCTTGGCCCATTCCGAAAAGGTACGACCACCCGTGGATACCTAAACCGCCCGCCACCATCTCCGCGGGCGACGACCGGCCACTGGACCGGTCCAGACACGGGAAACAGCATCTAGCGGACGCCGAAAGCGGCGTGGAGAAGAGCGCCATTGCTGACAAAGTGCAAGAGAAAGATCTCATCCAGGGCCACGAAAGGAAAAAGCGGTCGAGCAAAAAGGCAGAAGGGGAGAAGAAAGTCAAGGTGGAAAGGGAAGGACGGGCGGCTGTGGATGCCGTCAACAGGCAAATTAAACAGGAGATTGCAGCCGGCAGCTCTTACAAGTGAGTAGAAACACGCATGTGGTTGACTTGTACAGTGAACCCCCGTCACCTCCTGAGACCTGAATTCAGTTTCTTTTATTTTATTTTTCTTATTTCTCTCTTCCTTGGAGCTGAATCAACAACTCACAATTTCATAACAATATTTTTGCTTAGGGATTTACAGCATGTCTACTGTAGTGATTAGCAGTGTTAAAAAAGTAGTATCATTAAAAAAAATTATCTCTTTTCATGACATTTGTGTTTTGCTGCAGTCTTTTTTTTTCCCCAGCAAGAAAGAAAAGTTCTTTTGATCCCACCAAAACACAGTAGATATCATTGGAAAGGCCAAGATGTCCTGTGCTTAGCACGTCGGGGCTTCGTAGGGTAGCTCAAACGAGTCAATACCAAAATTAATACAACTTTATTTGTAGAGCACATTAAAAACCACTAAAGCGGCATACAAAATTCGAACATCAAATAAAAGTAGTATTTATTCTTTTCACTAAGCAGAGAGAATATATGCTGCCAGTATTGTATACCCTGTTTGTATATGTGTTGCTGAGCATGTGATAAAGTTGCAGATGTTTTAATGTTTGTGATTGCATAATATCTTGGCTTATTTCCATTTATTCTCATTTCTATTCTATTCCATTTGACATAATACTGTCATTCTCATTATGATATAGTTATAGTAATAGTCAATATTGCACCTTGGTGTTTTACGATAGACTTGAACTGGAAGTGACAAATAGACAGCTTGAAGCAAGCACACTCGGGTTCTTATTTTTAGAACAGTCCAAGAGAGAGAGTAAAACAATCCCAAGGGAATACTTTAAAAAGTGTCTTTTAATCATTTTATTGTGTCTAAAGGGTGTAAGATGGGTGCATAACATACACAACCAGGGTAATCTGTATTATGTAATGTTCACAGCCATGATAGAGGATGATGAAGCATCAAGTCACGCATGTCGGTCACTGCTCATTGTCGTATAAAGTTCTTGCAATTCACTTTTTTTTTTTAATCAAATGCTAAGTCTTTTTTTTTGTTGTCTTGAATGGGAGAGGGACAACATTGTTTTTTTTTTCCAGATCATAGTGAAATTGAAACAAAACATATGGCTATTTTATATGAAGTCAAAGTTATGACTCGGTTGCCAAAGGAAGAATCACCGCTGATGATGTGGTCTGATGCCATGTGAGATTCGTGTGTCTTGCGATTCAGCTGGTTGGTGCCCCGCTGCCGCGTGTGCGCGCGCGTGTGTGTGTGTGTGTGTGTGTGTGTGTGTGTGTGTGTGTGTGTGTGTGTGTGCGTGTGTGTGTGTTGTGGAGCAGGGTGCAGCCCAGGGCACTGTCCCCCTCCACATGGCACGACACAAGCCCACCCGAACTTCTGTCTTTTGCTGCCAGGGAAGTCTCAAAGCAGGTCAACTGTGGGTTAACATTATGTATGGTGGGCACAAATCACACAGCACATGCTGAAATGGCATCAGTGCTCATTCGGAATACGTTTGAAATACAAATCCATTGGTCACTAAATTCTGTCACCTTGAAACATTAATGATGACACTCCAGCTGCACTGTGCCATATGGCGGATAGTTTGTATCTACAAGTAAAAAAAAAGAAAAAAAACGGCAAATAGGATAAAGCTACAAACATTGTAATTTGTGATCTGCATCTCATTTAATCAAAACGGCATTCAGCCATGGGAACTCTGATCCCGTTCATTCTACCACACCAAATATAGTGTTCATTAACGGATGCAATTTGTTTCAGTAACACTTCCTCATTCATCACTTGTACGTTGCCTATCCGGGCTAAGTTATTATTAGCTGACATACGACCTCAGCGATCATCTGTTGTAACATTCTGTGGAAAATGGACCATTTCTATCCATTTCCTATTTCCCTAGTCCTCATTAGGGTCACACGTCAGCTGGAGCCCATTCGAATTGTCTTCAGGCAAGAGGCGGGTTACAAACTGGGCTGGTCGGCAGTTAATCGCAGAGCACATATAGACTACCGTTCACACTCATGTTTGCTCCGAGTATGCAATGAACCTAAGTAGCGTGTCAGGAAGTGTCGTGATGTCCTGAAAACAGATCATTGTTGGCACTTTATTGCCTATACTGCATCTGTATACTCACGCACATGCACAAATTTAAGAGGTAAACACTCCATAACTCAAGAACATGACAAAAGAACAGATTGAGGGGAAATCATGAAGCTAAAAAAAAATGGAAAGAAACAGCACCTCGGTACAAGCAAAAACAAAAGGCACAGGGTAAGAAAGCTAAACAATGCTGAGTCAAGTGAAGTCAAATTGATCGCAGAATCAACACTCCAATACAACTGCATTCTATTACGTGGATATTTTCTGCTGCTTTGGTAGAGTCATATTTAACCCTTTCAGGGACAGCGGTTACTACAGTGGATAGCTTATCAGGTTATCGAGTTACAGGGTGCATGAAAGGGTTAAGATACATTCAAATGCCTTATTATGCCTGATATAAGCCATGAGTGAAGAGACGTCAGCTGCCTGAGCCTTTGTTCATGTTCTCTTTTTTTTCTAACAGACAAAGCCTACTTTGTCACTGTGTTATCTGCAGTGACCAAAAGGGATCATTTTTTTCTACTTTCACAAAACGAATGTTAGAAAATAGCATATGAAAGTGATTTTTTTTTTTTTCGGTGATGACGAAGCAGAGGCTGCAGGTTCATTGAGTTCAGATTGACTTGATTTTCCCATTTTGTAGTGAAACATCTTTTATTGCAGGGAACTCTAACCAACTCCTTTCAAAAGAGACTTTTCTTTCCGAAACGTCTCCAAATCCTCCTCTGCCTACTGAATGAGTTTGTTAGCAGAATGGAGCCCACAGCGGCGAAGTGATTGAATATTGTGGATTTTGAAAATGATCCTCTTAGAGAGCTTGCAAAGCATTGTGTTGTCAGTGAGTACAGAAATGCAAAAAAAAAAAAATCTACTTCAGCAAAAGAAAAATGGTGCACAACACTCGAAACCATGGGATATCGTTCTTCCCCAGAAAGTGCAACTGATTGTCGAAACTGCTCTGACTTTAATGCTGTGTTGTCGTTAAGCTGGGTTCACATATTGTTGCCAAATGTAATCCTAAAATTTCCACTGATACTCAATTGTTCCATCAGTACCTTGTCAGATCATACTGAATCTGCTTTATGCAACCAATTTAATCTCATATTACCGCGTGTGACTACAGTTAATTCGTATATATATATATATAGATACACACACACACACACACACACACACACACACACACACACACACCCTGGAATGAGTCGCGTGAAATACGGAGCGAGCCTTCTTTTGAATATGTGAAAGGCAACCCCTAAAAGTGCTCAAAGAGTCACCTGTGTCATATCGTACGTTGCCCAAAGAGGAGCTGCCATCCGACAGGCCGGATGAGAGAGTATTGATTGAAAGCCGGTCTTTATGGCCGCTGATCCAACAATAAAAAGAAGCCACAGAGGTCCTCTGGGTTCATTGATTCCCTGGAATAGTCTGGGAGACACTGCCAGTGCTTTATCAGCGCCGAGCACTCTCACAATATTTAACTTGAGTCTGAAATAAATTTGGCAGGATTTTCACGCTGTCAAAGGTTCAGATCTCGGCTCGGGCTCGGTCGTGTGGAATCTGCACGGTCTCCCTGTGCTTGCAAGGGTCCAGGTACTCTGGCTTCCTCTCACATTCCAAAAACATGCATGGGGAGTTAATTGTCGGCTCCAAATTGCTCCGAGGTGTAAATGTGAGTGTGAACGGTTGTTTGAAATTATATATGTTATGGCCATGAAGACCTAAATGCGCGAGTAATTGTAAAAAAAACACATTTATCCTATAACTGCCTATAGATACCACAAGATAGTCTCAATGCACAACACGAAGCTCAGTAACTCACTTCAACATCGTTCCTAGGCACCAAGATGCCACAAGATGGCAGCAGAGCACTATATGAAGCTTCTCAGCTCACTCCAAGGTAGTTGGTTGGCCGCAAGATGCCATAAAATGGCACCAAAGCAATACTGTTATATGAGACAAGGCATTGGCATGACCACAAAACCAGCAAATAGGTGAGTTTTGGGTGTTCGCTGATTGTGCTTTGTGATTGACTGACAACCAGTCCAGGCTGTAACCCACGTCTTGCCAAAAGAGGAGCCTGTGACAACAGACTGGTAGTATGTGAATAGATGAAATCAAATCTTGGACTGATTTGTCACGCTCATATTACGAAACAACAAATATATGATTTGCTTACTTTGCTTGCACATGTATTGTGAAGATGTCTATTCACCAATAACATAGCATGGCTATATGAGTCTTCCAAGTGTAGCAGCCCATATTGTGCCACATTCTGTGTGCTGCGTCCTGGCGCGTTTCCACTCCTGTCAGCGCCAGTGATTGGTTGCAGCGTAGAACTCTTTCTTACGCACATAAACCACCACAGCGGGTTAGCGGAAATATCACTGTGACAAGAATAGCTTGTGTTGCAGTGATACATGCATACCAAAAAAAAAACTGTTACAGTGCTTCTTGCCAATAACCGTTAGACCATTTATGTTTACTGTATATAGTATATAAAGTATCTTCAACATTTCTCAAGCACATGCGGACCTCAGGGACACAGGAATTATTGTTCCATTTTCCATGAATAGCATCTACAGTACGTTCCCGTCATGTACAGGCTGGAGTACCACACTGTGAAATCTTTACACTTGGACAATCGACACCCTGTGGTGTCATGTAAGTGTTTTATACCATCGTCCTTGGATGCCATTGTATAATCCGTCTTTGCGCGGTAGCCTCTTGGTCCATCCTGGCCCTGAAAGCGAGCCTAAGTCCTGTTATGTAATCACTCTCTGTGTGTGATTTCCATCTCTCCAGTGCGCTGATGGTAGTACCGGTAGTTCTCTTTTTTATGGGTAATGCCCCAGTCATCATCCTTTGTGCTATGAACAATTTACTTTTCACATTGTGACATTTCACCCTGTGGCTTGTTTTATAAATGTGAAAACACATTTCTGCCAGAGTAGTCATTCAAATGTAAATGTGTGCAAACTAACCAACTGGAAGATGAATTCAAAACGATCACCTTATATTTTAACTTAATTATGTAAATGTCACTTTCATGCTACATGAAGAGCTTTTGTCAACTACTGGCCTATTTTTGATGAGCCAAAAGCAAGACTTGCATTTGTAACCTCATAAATAACGGCGGGCACCTAAAATGTCTTGCTGGCATTTTTTTCATCTTGAATTTTAACATAGCACTGACTGTTCCTAAAGGTATTGTAAAATATGCAGTAGCTATTTAGATTCGATTTTCAGGCGTTGCTTATTTTTTCTCAATCAACGTGGCCATTAAGGATCCAAAAAGGTTTATATCTGCGGGGATTGTTCCCAATGTAACCTCATTATAGCATTCACCTTTTAACCTGTGAGAAATTTATTCTTGTCTATAAATAGAATGCATCCCGCAGTCTCCTTAGTATATATTGACTTTGTTCTCTTCGTAAATAGACTTTTTTTTTTTCGAATGGAGGCAGAAGGACGGTGGCCAAGTATTGACTCCCTCTCTCTGTGCTTGAAGCTGCTGCGTAATGTAACACTTTACTTTATTTACACTGTGAGCAAGGACATTTAAATGTGCCTCACGATTGTTTACAGTGCGCGTTCATGACTCTGCTAGAGCCAAAGGGGAAGACTGATATTTGTCATCGGATTAGGCTGAAGCAGAATTGTGTTGCAATTGCCGACCGAATCACTCTACTCTAATGTCCCGCAGAATCATTTTGGTTGTTTGCAGTGAAGACACAAAGAGGAAACGCTGTCTGAATATTGGGCTTTCATCAAACAGTAGACATAAAGTAATTTTATAGCAGCGTGCACATGTCATCGACATTGTTGGACTCAAAGCACTCAATGAACATAGAGCAAAATCAAGGTAATGAATACAAAAAGGTTCAATATTTATTTCATCTGGCACGGACGGATGGCAAAGGACACCCCATCGCTAGGCTGGAACACCCAGCTGGGTGCAGAACTGTCAGCCAAATTCCCAAACAGGCGCATTGAGGCATATGACTGCAAAAAAAAATAAATAAAGAAAAAAATCAGGATATGACAGCATTTCTGCATCAAATGGACATGTCTGAATACATAGCCCTCAAAGTCTATCCGTGTTTTGGAAGCTGTGATGACATCTGAAGTACACCATAAGGTTGCCCAGAAACTAAAAACCCGGGTTAAATGCATTTGTTGTTTTCCAAACTTTGGATTTCAAATGAAGAAATCCTTTTTTAGTATTATTATCTAGCACAAATTATATTTATTTACCTAAACTTGAAAATTGTATGACCAAGAATCTTGTCATGTTTAACCCTTCCATGCACCCTGTAACCTGATAACATGATAAACTGTCCACTGTAGGAACCGCTGTCCCTGAAAGGGTTAAAGAACTTTATTGACTCAGTGTGAACATGTTTAAAAATAATTTACAAGAATATGGTTGGTTAGAAAATCATTGTCATTTTTTTTTAAATAAAATAAGAATGATGACCACTTGACTTCTCTCCTTGCAGAACCGAATTTAAGGCTTATAGAGATGTGAAGCCTGCACAGATGATCCGGGCCAAGTCCCAGTACTTACCTCCGGATGAGAAGACCAGGCTGGAAACCAGCTATAGTGCAACATTCAAGGGACAAGCCCCGCTACAACCTACTGACAATAAGGCCCAGGAGAGGAGGAGGATACGCAGCTTGTACAGCGAGCCATACATCGACCCCATTAAACAGGTGCGCACTGATCTGCTGGGTTTTAAAGTGTAACTTTAAGGATTGATTTAAGCCATACATGTTTACATTTGGGGCGGCCCGGTAGTCCAGTGGTTAGCACGTCGACTTCACAGTGCAGAGGTACCGGGTTCAATTCCTGCTTCGGCCTCCCTGTGTGGAGTTTGCATGTTCTCCCCGGGCCTGCGTGGGTTTTCTCCGGGTACTCCGGTTTCCTCCCACATTCCAAAAACATGCATGGTAGGCTGATTGGACACTCTAAGTTGTCCCTAGGTGTGACTGTGAGCATGGATGGTTGTTCGTCTCTGTGTGCCCTGCGATTGGCTGGCAACCGATTCAGGGTGTCCCCCGCCTGCTGCCCGAAGACAGCTGGGATAGGCTCCAGCACCCCCCGCGACCCTAGTGAGGATCAAGCGGTTCGGAAGATGAATGAATGAATGAATGTTTACATTTGCAATTACCCTCAGAAATTGCCTGTGAATGCTAAGCGATTCCATTTAGATGAAAGTACAGCTTTGTCACGATGTTGGACCATCTTTCGGCAATGATAAAGCTTTTTAGCAGGGGTTCACTGTAGTACCATAGCAGAGTCCTCACTGTCTGGCTAGCAGATGGATTAACATCTTTTTCTCCACCAAACTAACTGGGAGAATCATCAGTGGTTGCTGACACACAGGGCCCTATTTCCATGCCCAGCACACGTCTAGTGAAAGTAACTGTGAATGGGAGGCGTTTTCTTTCTTTTGGCATTTTCACAGAGAGGCGCAGTTAGAAATTGGCGTTTGCGCCGTTGTGGGAGTGAACACAGGCCGGCTTGATTCTCGGCCAATCAAACCGGCTTTCCTCATCCCCTTTAAATTAAGTGCCGGAGAGGTGCGGCCACCATGTCAAAAGCATAATGGACTCACTGGAGTGGGTACAGGAGATCAGTGTGCGCAAAGCATGTTGTTCATAAGGTACTGCAAGATCACCACTTGCGGATGATGAAAAATTGGTCAAAATCGTGCAGTTAAAGATCGCTTTCAACCCCCCCCCATCATGTGTCTGCTTTAGAAGTGCAGCCCCCCCACACACACATGCCAGTTATTCGACAGTACGGCTGTGCTTTTAAATATATATTAAACACTATAATAATAATAATAATAATAATAATAATAATGGGCATTTTCACAGATGGTCGCAGTTAGAAATGAGCGTTTGCGCCGTTGTGGGAGTGGGAATTCTCGGCCAATCAAACCGGCTTCCCTCATCCCCTTTGAATTAAGTGCAGGAGAAGCGCGACCCCCATGTCAAAAGCATAATGGACTCACTGGAGTGGGCACAGGAGATCAGTGTGCGCAAAGTATGTTGTTCATAAGGTACTGCAAGATCACCGCTTGCGGATGATGAAACATTGGTCAAAATCGAGCAGTTAAAGATCGCTTTCAACCCCCCCATCGTGTGTTTGCTTTAGAAGTGCACCCCCCCCCCACACACACACATGCCAGTTATTCCACAGTACGGCTGTGCTTTTAAATATATATTAAACACTATAATAACAATAATAATAATAATAACAATAATGCATTCACTGAATTGATTTCTACAATGATTCTGATGTCACATATTTAGGAATGAAATACTATCCAAATACGTATCAACGGAGCGCAGAATATTTCTGATTGTGCTTCGATCAAATCCATCAAGATCACACTACACTACCTGCGCCACAACTTAGACCTGGTTTCACTTTTTCCAATGTCTGGTCTTCTTTCTGTCATGAAGTAGTCAAGTGAAACGCCCTTGGTCTGCCAAACTGGAAAATAGTCTCAGCATTCACACAATGACTGTTAGGATTGCTTGCTATTACTGTTCCACAGTTCTAGAACTGCAGTTCCGCTCATGTTCGTTATCCGATATCCTCAGGTGGACAGGTCTACTGTCCCTCGCACTAAAGCCAAAAAGCCTGGGGCTGTCGCATCAAGCCAGGGCAAGCCAGTGAAGAAAGCCAAAGATAAGCAGAGCGCGGCACTGAGGGGTTCCAGGAAGATGACCTCGGAGAACCAGCCCGTGAGCCGGCCAGCGTTGGGCGACAAGGAGAAAAGTAAAGAGCTGAACAACAAACTGGCTGAAGCGAAAGAGTAAAAACCATTTAGCACCTTTCATATCCTATGTTTTCGGGGGAAAGTAAACACAGAGGCTGCAAAACTGTTTTTTTCTTTTCTGTTGCCATCCTTTGTTTTGCTTCTGCTTTGCTCCCATCCACTTCCCCTCCTTCTCTTTTTGTACTCTTGTACAATAATAGAATAAGGTGACATGTCATCAGTCCATTGTCTAATTTCGATCGTTGCAGTCACAAGCGGGCATGAGTGGGTTTTTTTTTTTGTTCCTCTTCTACTCGACGCCACCCCCACTCTGCTCGCCTCCGTCTCCTGGTTGCTATGGCGACAGGCTGCCTGGCTACCCGATGCAATGGATAAAGCTTGCATGAGGCCGACCGCAAGCGCTTCTGGTGTCTGGCTTGATTGACTGAGCGTATCGTTCTCCTGAGTTTATCAAAGATTATCAACGGTTGGAAGTATTGAATAGAAATAATGAGGAAAGCTGAAGATCTTTGATAAATGTCATGCCTGGTTAATCATGTGTCTCTGATCCGCATCTCATTTTTTTTTTTTTGTACCTGCTGTTTCATCTTTGCTGCTGTTTTTGCGTTCATGCTTTAGGTGTGACTCGATGCATGATCGTAATTCTTTGTGACTTTGGAGCCCAGTTATCTCTAAATCCGTCTTCAATGAGAAACTTACAGCCGTTTGTATCCCTAGGAGCATTTACCTCATTCTTACTCACATGCCTATTTTAGATGAGCTTAGTTCAATACTATTTTTTTTACCTAACTTGCTGCTAGCAGACAATCTGGATCACTCTATCTGATTATGCATTAAAAATTATGAATATGCATATTACATTAATATTGTCTCCATAGGTCCCCAGGGCATTTAAAATTTAAATAGCATCCTCATTGGTTCTGTGCGGGGGGGGAGTTTAGTGGGGCTAAAAAAAAATTGTGTTGAGTGTTTGGGGGTCACATAAAACGTCAAGCTTTTAGTGCCATCGGTCTGAAGTCAGCATAGCAATGCGGTTGTTAATAGCAAGACTGATCCCTCTGTAAAATTACACAATCATTAAACACAATCAGGCCACCATGAGCGGAACCAATGAGTTTAGAAAGCCACACTTGTGATCGTAAAATTATAATGTTAATTACTGTATATGAATTTGATGCGGCACGGTGGTCGACTGGCTACCATGTCTGCCTCACAGTACAGAGGTGCAAGGTTCGATTCTGGCCTTCCTGTGCCGGGTTTGCATGTTCTCCGCGCCCGTGTGGGTTTTCTCCGGGTACTCCGGTTTCCTCTCACATTCCAAAAACATGCATGGCAGGTTAATGGAACATTCTAAATTGTCCCTTGGTGTGATTGTGAGTACAAATGTTTTTTTTTTTTTTTTTTATCTATGTGTGCCCTGCGCTTGGCCGGCAACGAGTTCGGGGTGTACCCCGCCTACTGCCCAAGGACAGCTGGGATAGGCTCCAGCACACCCGCGGCCCTTGTGAGGATAAGCTGATTCGAAAATGGGTGAATGGATGGATGTATAAATTTAATTTTGTCTGGTTAGCTTTTATAATATTGGCATCATTATTTTCAATTTATCGTTGCTCACATTTGTCTTGGTAGAATTCAATTTTTATGCAAGTATGTTGATTTTAAAGCTCATTTATTAATGTCCGGGAAGTTAAATATGGTGGAATCTGAGTATATTGTGTGTATAAGAGATATGTAGTGAAACATACCAGATCCCAAAATGTAAAGCCTTGACTTTTTCTTTATTTTATTTTATTTATTTATTTATTTATTTATTTTAATTGTGGTTTAAAGAATTTTCTTTACGTCATGTGTTGGATGTAGAAGGCGACCTAAGTAAGCTGGTTTGTAATAATGTAATTGTAATCTCTATTGTATGCACTTAACCAATGTTAGCTATTGTAGAGTCATCGTTCACAATACACGTGCGTAACGTATACAGTGGAACCGCTAATCCGTGCTAATCTACAAATAATTTGCATTAAATTTTACAAAAGCAAATAATAGAAATGAACAACATTGTTAAAGACATACGGCATAAACTACTTTTAATGTTGGGCAGAGGGAACATTTTTGCGTGGACCTGAGAAGCAAGTCTCTTCACATTCCGATGAAGGCTCACTTTGCAGCGCACATTTTTTTTCACGTACTGTATTATCATTATTATCGTCAACCTGTACTAAGCAGGCAAGGCAGAGGTGTGCGTAATGTTGTCTCTACTTTTGGGAACTGAATATTTAGTTATCAGTTCTATGTTTGTCATCACATTGTTTCCTCGCTTTACCACCTCTGGTACCCTTCTGTGATAGTCATCAGTGCTTTCACTGTATAAGTAGACATATGTACTGTAATTTTTCTTTCTTTACCTTTCGTTTAAAATTACAAATGCACTGGCATGGGTCGAATCCCTTCTCGCCCCCTTTAAACGCTACACACACACACACACACACACACACACACACACACACACAACGACCGCATTCCTGCTCGCGCCCACACACCCACACACACACACACACACACACACACACACACACACACACACACACACTTAACATTCTTTCCTTTATTCGCTGTGCAATCATTACCACCATCTGTCAAAGTTGAACGCATGACCCATAGGGGCTGAAGGCCAACCTCATTTACATTTTGCAGCCTTTGGTTAGGTGCTGTCACTTTGTCTCATAACACGGAGGAGGAGGGGCCACGTCATGTAAACAGTGCTTGACACGCCACACACCCGGTGCTATCTTTGTGGTTGTTAGCTAAAAAAAAATTAAAAAAAACGGATAGAGAGTTTGGGAAAGGAAGTTATGTCTAGACAAAAAAACTAAATAAAAAGTTGACTGTGACGTACTTGTGTTTCTGCTTGCTTATATTTAAAGGAATATTACAAATAAACGACCCCCCAAAAAGGCAAAACAAAAGGTGTCTTCTGGATTCTTTTAGTTTCTAGTAAAGCGTTAGTGGTTGCAGGTTTCTGTCAGTATTTTTCCAGTCCCAGTCTTTGTCAAACAAAATATGAAAATCCACATGGAAGAGGATTTTCTTGTCCAAGATTGCACCGCATTCTGGCGTGACCTCTGGCATTCTTTTTATGATGCATGTTGCCCTCGTGAGAAGAATATATTGTTTTTGCATCATATCGCTCATACTGATGCATCACAATAAATTTGTGGACAACTTAATTTATTTCACTAGTTCAATCCAAAAAGTGCCGTATCTATATACAAAGTGACATATGTTGTGATTTGTATTTGTTATCATTTTGAAGATTATTGCTTGGACCTAAAAAAAAAAAAGGTGACCATCTCAATAAATGAATATTCCATAAAAAAAACAAAAAACAAAGGATTTTTAATATTGGATAGCAATTGGCCTCCTGAAAAAAATATTTCTACGTGTACATTATGTGTTTGACATAATGAGTTGCACTTTTTGAAATGAACTAATAAAACAAATGAACTTTTCCACTGTATTCTAATGTATTGAAATGCACCGGTTTATTCCAAGAGATCATGTGGCTTTACAACAACATGCATGTAAAAGGGTTTTTGGAAATGTATTCCTGAATATGTCATGTCCTTCCTTGTTTAGACCTCTGCTTTCTTTAAATTCCAGAAATACAAACCCATTTCCAATTAAGTTGGGACGCTATGTTAAACAAAACAAAACAACAAAAAAAAAAAAACAGAACCATTTGCAAATCCTTTTCCACTTATATTCACTTGAAAAACACAACTATGTATTTATTTTGCAAATGTTCACTTATTCAGAATTTGACGCCTGCAACATGTTCCAAAAAAGACATTGTCTTTTGACAACATTCAATCAGAATTTCAGAAATAAAGACTTTGTAGGTGGAGTTTGCACTTTATAATGTGTCACATATTTTTAATGGGAAGCAGGTCTGGACTGCTGGCAGGGCAGTTTAGTTCTCACTCTGTTTTACTACGAAGCCACGCTGTTGCAACACATGCAGAATGTAGTTTGGCATAATTGTGCTGAAAATCTGCTTATTTTCATGTCCCTGAAAAACGTTGCTGAGATAGCAACATATGTTGCTCCAAAACATCGATGTACATTTCAGCATAAATGGCACCTTCACAGATTCTGGCTTTTGAACTTTGCACTGATAACAGTTTGGATGCTCCTTTTCCAGTTCAGCCCGGGGAACACAATAGCCGTGATTTCCCCAAAACAATTTCAAATGTGGACTCGTCAGACCACACTACACTTTTCCACTTTGCGTCAATCCTTCTCAGGTGAGTTCGGGCCCAGAGAAGCTGGCGGTGTTTCTGGGTGTTGCATGGTAGAGTTATAAATAGCATTTGTAATATTCCTGAGCCTTTTCTCTTCTCACAATGACACTCATTTTCAATGCAATGAGCCATGTGGGGTCGAAGGCCACAAGCATCCAGTGCTGGTTTTAGGCAGAGATTTATCTTGAGTCTTTGAATTTTTTGATGGGAAATGGTAGATCACGAAATCCATGTATTCCGTGTAATTGTACATTGACAAACACAAATGGCTCACGCAGTTGTTCACATCCTTGTTTGTGAAGAATTGAGCTTTATATCCCCAATCATGACACTCACCTGTTTCCAATTAACCTGTTGACCCATGGAAGGTTCCAAACAGGTGGTTTTTTTTTTTGTTTTTTTTTTAGAAAGTTAAAAAAACTGTCTTTTGTTGCACCTGTCCCTGCTTTTTTGGAATGCATTGCAAGCATCTAATTCAAAATGAGAGAATTGTTGCCAAAAAAAAAAATGAATTAAAATTAATTAAAAAATTTAAAAAATAATAAGTAAATGAATAGAGAAATACATTTCATCAGTTTTAATATTACATATCTTGTCTTTTGTTTGTATTCAATTCAATATAGGTTGAAAAGGATTTTCAAATCACTGTTATCTGCTTTTATTGACATTTTACTTCGGATCCCAACGTCATTGGAATTGTGGGTTGTCCAAATCAAATATATATTCGTTCTCACACTGTCGTCATAAGTATTTGGGGGATGTCACGTTTGGATGATGCTATGTCTCTGAGTTCTTATTCGCTAATGAGTGACATTTGTATTCATTTGAAGGGTTGTGCTAAAACAACACCACTACATACAGCTCTGCCAGCCAATCCGAGATATTGGCTGGGTACAGACCCTAAAGCAACACCTGTGGGGCTGTGCGCTACCCAATCCCAGGTAACCCTCAAAAGTATCACTTAGAAGATGTCGGCCACAGACAAATACCACGCATTCTCATTCATGGCCATTGAGATGTGATTTTCTTTTTTTTCGTATCTTTTTTTCAATTTCACAGTGGCACGGCTTTTATTTAAATGGTGAATCACCTACACAACACCTTAGAATAGAGTTACTATATAAATATTTCTCTTCCATATGGACACCCAAGTAGTGGTGTTGGGATCGGGGTGGGGTGCGTGGGGGCCTTGCCTGCTGTCACCTCCTGCATGTAAGCTACCTTACATGGAGCCCTTCGAGTTGCAGCCATGCTTAAACCTGCTGGAATGCACCGATTGTTTCATGCTGTCAATTATAATTGCATGTGAAATGTTTCATAACCCTCCCACCACCTTGGGGAGGGGAAGGGCAATATTGAAGTCACTTTTGACCTGTTTGTGGATTCCCATATTCATGTAATCACATCGCTACGGTGGATATAGAAAGTGAAGACATTCCTGTTAAAATACAGTGGTGCCTTCAGGTACAACTTTAAATCATTTCGTGACCACGCTTGCAATGCAAAACATACGCATCTCAAATCCTTTCACCCTCTCTTGAATAGCGCTCTACATAATTGTAATTTATAAAAACAAAGAATAATTACATAATTAAGTAGAATGTAAAAAAAAAAAAAAGCTCTGCTGTTGTTTTAAGTACGCAACATGGAAATCTCTTTGTTTTATGTTTAGTTTGACAGTAAACTTCAAATGGGAGTAGCATCAAACTTTTCAAGCCTCCTTTTTATGAATTGTTCACAATTTACCAAACTGTTGCTTCTTTTGAAGTGAGCTGAATTAATTTCATTGCCACCATGCAGCTTTTTTATCTCAAGTTAGCGGCCACATGCCAGCTTGTACCTTAAAAAATGAAATCGGGTCACTTGTATCTCAAGGCGCCATCATTATTTCCCGCTGAAGTTTCAAGTCAAAGGCCAGCTCTGAACCCAAATATGTGGGGTGACTGTAAGTGTTTGAGTGTGTAAAAGTTTGCCCAAAAAGACTTAATGCTTGTCATGAAAACAAAGGTAACTTCACTCATTAACTCAAAATTGCAGTGCCTTTGTAAAACATGACATTAATACGTACTTGTTTGGCTTTTTGGCGACATAACTGGAATCTGCATGTCACTAATGTAGGCTAATGCACAAGTCAAGTCCAATCACCCGTCACATTTGTATGAAAAGCGCTTTGTATGTTTTAATGACGGTAGCTGAGCATATCTTCTTGTTAGTTAATTGTGCACCATTTGTTGTCTCGAAATGTATCATATCGTCCAAGTCCCAAAGGATGAGAGGACTCGATTTGTTTGTACAATTTCGATTTGTATTACATAGTTTGAGTTGATGCCTTCATGATACTTTCTATATCCACCACATAGATTGCATAGGCACAGGAGTTGATCGCTGACTTGAGCTTGTCACACGGTTGGGATGTGTTCTCAAAGCATGCCTTGACTGTTTTTTTTTGTTAGACCTGCAATTGCAAACTTTATCCAGAATATTTGCGGAGTGCTATCTTGCACCCTCAACAGGGGTAAGTACGAATAGGCTTGGAGAGAGGTAGTTTGGGGAAGTTTGTGTTAGTGGTCGGTCCATTATTACTGATAATGTAATTCCTTCCAGTCTGATTTGGATTTTTTTTTTTTAATATCCTAATTTTCATCATGTTAGAACACCCCGAGACCCTCATTGCACTGGCCCCCTTATTAACCTTTGACATTAAAATGCAATGCTACCTAATGTTTACTTGTCAAAGCTTTTTTTACTTCTGCATTCTCCATAAAACTTCATTTTCACCATTCAGATTTTATGCTACGATCTTAGTAGTTTTGATCTCCTCAAATGAGCGGTCGCAGGGTGCTCGACTCAGCCAGGTGACTGTTGTTGTTCTCCTTAAAAAAGTTTTTCAACGTGTCTTTGTTTTCTTTCTCCTTCTTGACACCTTAACCATGTTCTGGCTCCTAGAGATGCTCAGGACGAGTTTGTCCGACCCGGTCATCATCATACCCAGGGTGCTGCTGGAGGAGAACCTGAATCACTACTGGAAAGAGATGAACACCGACGCAGCAGCGGAGTTGTGCGATTTGCCCTCGATTTGAACCAGACTGAGTAGTATTTTGAAAATCACATGCACACACACACACACACACACACACACACACACACACACACACACACACACACACACACACACACACACACACACACACACACTTAACATTCTTTCCTTTATTCGCTGTGCAATCATTACCACCATCTGTCAAAGTTGAACGCATGACCCATAGGGGCTGAAGGCCAACCTCATTTACATTTTGCAGCCTTTGGTTAGGTGCTGTCACTTTGTCTCATAACACGGAGGAGGAGGGGCCACGTCATGTAAACAGTGCTTGACACGCCACACACCCGGTGCTATCTTTGTGGTTGTTAGCTAAAAAAAAATTAAAAAAAACGGATAGAGAGTTTGGGAAAGGAAGTTATGTCTAGACAAAAAAACTAAATAAAAAGTTGACTGTGACGTACTTGTGTTTCTGCTTGCTTATATTTAAAGGAATATTACAAATAAACGACCCCCCAAAAAGGCAAAACAAAAGGTGTCTTCTGGATTCTTTTAGTTTCTAGTAAAGCGTTAGTGGTTGCAGGTTTCTGTCAGTATTTTTCCTGTCCCAGTCTTTGTCAAACAAAATATGAAAATCCACATGGAAGAGGATTTTCTTGTCCAAGATTGCACCGCATTCTGGCATGACCTCTGGCATTCTTTCTATGATGCATGTTGCCCTCGTGAGAAGAATATATTGTTTTTGCATCATATCGCTCATACTGATGCATCACAATAAATTTGTGGACAACTTAATTTATTTCACTAGTTCAATCCAAAAAGTGCCGTATCTATATACAAAGTGACATATGTTGTGATTTGTATTTGTTATCATTTTGAAGATTATTGCTTGGACCTAAAAAAAAAAAAGGTGACCATCTCAATAAATGAATATTCCATAAAAAAAACAAAAAACAAAGGATTTTTAATATTGGATAGCAATTGGCCTCCTGAAAAAAATATTTCTACGTGTACATTATGTGTTTGACATAATGAGTTGCACTTTTTGAATTGAACTAATAAAACAAATGAACTTTTCCACTGTATTCTAATGTATTGAAATGCACCGGTTTATTCCAAGAGATCATGTGGCTTTACAACAACATGCATGTAAAAGGGTTTTTGGAAATGTATTCCTGAATATGTCATGTCCTTCCTTGTTTAGACCTCTGCTTTCTTTAAATTCCAGAAATACAAACCCATTTCCAATTAAGTTGGGACGCTATGTTAAACAAAACAAAACAACAAAAAAAAAAAAACAGAACCATTTGCAAATCCTTTTCCACTTATATTCACTTGAAAAACACAACTATGTATTTATTTTGCAAATGTTCACTTATTCAGAATTTGACGCCTGCAACATGTTCCAAAAAAGACATTGTCTTTTGACAACATTCAATCAGAATTTCAGAAATAAAGACTTTGTAGGTGGAGTTTGCACTTTATAATGTGTCACATATTTTTAATGGGAAGCAGGTCTGGACTGCTGGCAGGGCAGTTTAGTTCTCACTCTGTTTTACTACGAAGCCACGCTGTTGCAACACATGCAGAATGTAGTTTGGCATAATTGTGCTGAAAATCTGCTTATTTTCATGTCCCTGAAAAACGTTGCTGAGATAGCAACATATGTTGCTCCAAAACATCGATGTACATTTCAGCATAAATGGCACCTTCACAGATTCTGGCTTTTGAACTTTGCACTGATAACAGTTTGGATGCTCCTTTTCCAGTTCAGCCCGGGGAACACAATAGCCGTGATTTCCCCAAAACAATTTCAAATGTGGACTCGTCAGACCACACTACACTTTTCCACTTTGCGTCAATCCTTCTCAGGTGAGTTCGGGCCCAGAGAAGCTGGCGGTGTTTCTGGGTGTTGCATGGTAGAGTTATAAATAGCATTTGTAATATTCCTGAGCCTTTTCTCTTCTCACAATGACACTCATTTTAAATGCAATGAGCCATGTGGGGTCGAAGGCCACAAGCATCCAGTGCTGGTTTTAGGCAGAGATTTATCTTGAGTCTTTGAATTTTTTGATGGGAAATGGTAGATCACGAAATCCATGTATTCCGTGTAATTGTACATTGACAAACACAAATGGCTCACGCAGTTGTTCACATCCTTGTTTGTGAAGAATTGAGCTTTATATCCCCAATCATGACACTCACCTGTTTCCAATTAACCTGTTGACCCATGGAAGGTTCCAAACAGGTGGTTTTTTTTTTTGTTTTTTTTTTAGAAAGTTAAAAAAACTGTCTTTTGTTGCACCTGTCCCTGCTTTTTTGGAATGCATTGCAAGCATCTAATTCAAAATGAGAGAATTGTTGCCAAAAAAAAAAATGAATTAAAATTAATTAAAAAATTTAAAAAATAATAAGTAAATGAATAGAGAAATACATTTCATCAGTTTTAATATTACATATCTTGTCTTTTGTTTGTATTCAATTCAATATAGGTTGAAAAGGATTTTCAAATCACTGTTATCTGCTTTTATTGACATTTTACTTCGGATCCCAACGTCATTGGAATTGTGGGTTGTCCAAATCAAATATATATTCGTTCTCACACTGTCGTCATAAGTATTTGGGGGATGTCACGTTTGGATGATGCTATGTCTCTGAGTTCTTATTCGCTAATGAGTGACATTTGTATTCATTTGAAGGGTTGTGCTAAAACAACACCACTACATACAGCTCTGCCAGCCAATCCGAGATATTGGCTGGGTACAGACCCTAAAGCAACACCTGTGGGGCTGTGCGCTACCCAATCCCAGGTAACCCTCAAAAGTATCACTTAGAAGATGTCGGCCACAGACAAATACCACGCATTCTCATTCATGGCCATTGAGATGTGATTTTCTTTTTTTTCGTATCTTTTTTTCAATTTCACAGTGGCACGGCTTTTATTTAAATGGTGAATCACCTACACAACACCTTAGAATAGAGTTACTATATAAATATTTCTCTTCCATATGGACACCCAAGTAGTGGTGTTGGGATCGGGGTGGGGTGCGTGGGGGCCTTGCCTGCTGTCACCTCCTGCATGTAAGCTACCTTACATGGAGCCCTTCGAGTTGCAGCCATGCTTAAACCTGCTGGAATGCACCGATTGTTTCATGCTGTCAATTATAATTGCATGTGAAATGTTTCATAACCCTCCCACCACCTTGGGGAGGGGAAGGGCAATATTGAAGTCACTTTTGACCTGTTTGTGGATTCCCATATTCATGTAATCACATCGCTACGGTGGATATAGAAAGTGAAGACATTCCTGTTAAAATACAGTGGTGCCTTCAGGTACAACTTTAAATCATTTCGTGACCACGCTTGCAATGCAAAACATACGCATCTCAAATCCTTTCACCCTCTCTTGAATAGCGCTCTACATAATTGTAATTTATAAAAACAAAGAATAATTACATAATTAAGTAGAATGTAAAAAAAAAAAAAAGCTCTGCTGTTGTTTTAAGTACGCAACATGGAAATCTCTTTGTTTTATGTTTAGTTTGACAGTAAACTTCAAATGGGAGTAGCATCAAACTTTTCAAGCCTCCTTTTTATGAATTGTTCACAATTTACCAAACTGTTGCTTCTTTTGAAGTGAGCTGAATTAATTTCATTGCCACCATGCAGCTTTTTTATCTCAAGTTAGCGGCCACATGCCAGCTTGTACCTTAAAAAATGAAATTGGGTCACTTGTATCTCAAGGCGCCATCATTATTTCCTGCTGAAGTTTCAAGTCAAAGGCCAGCTCTGAACCCAAATATGTGGGGTGACTGTAAGTGTTTGAGTGTGTAAAAGTTTGCCCAAAAAGACTTAATGCTTGTCATGAAAACAAAGGTAACTTCACTCATTAACTCAAAATTGCAGTGCCTTTGTAAAACATGACATTAATACGTACTTGTTTGGCTTTTTGGCGACATAACTGGAATCTGCATGTCACTAATGTAGGCTAATGCACAAGTCAAGTCCAATCACCCGTCACATTTGTATGAAAAGCGCTTTGTATGTTTTAATGACGGTAGCTGAGCATATCTTCTTGTTAGTTAATTGTGCACCATTTGTTGTCTCGAAATGTATCATATCGTCCAAGTCCCAAAGGATGAGAGGACTCGATTTGTTTGTACAATTTCGATTTGTATTACATAGTTTGAGTTGATGCCTTCATGATACTTTCTATATCCACCACATAGATTGCATAGGCACAGGAGTTGATCGCTGACTTGAGCTTGTCACACGGTTGGGATGTGTTCTCAAAGCATGCCTTGACTGTTTTTTTTTGTTAGACCTGCAATTGCAAACTTTATCCAGAATATTTGCGGAGTGCTATCTTGCACCCTCAACAGGGGTAAGTACGAATAGGCTTGGAGAGAGGTAGTTTGGGGAAGTTTGTGTTAGTGGTCGGTCCATTATTACTGATAATGTAATTCCTTCCAGTCTGATTTGGATTTTTTTTTTTTAATATCCTAATTTTCATCATGTTAGAACACCCCGAGACCCTCATTGCACTGGCCCCCTTATTAACCTTTGACATTAAAATGCAATGCTACCTAATGTTTACTTGTCAAAGCTTTTTTTACTTCTGCATTCTCCATAAAACTTCATTTTCACCATTCAGATTTTATGCTACGATCTTAGTAGTTTTGATCTCCTCAAATGAGCGGTCGCAGGGTGCTCGACTCAGCCAGGTGACTGTTGTTGTTCTCCTTAAAAAAGTTTTTCAACGTGTCTTTGTTTTCTTTCTCCTTCTTGACACCTTAACCATGTTCTGGCTCCTAGAGATGCTCAGGACGAGTTTGTCCGACCCGGTCATCATCATACCCAGGGTGCTGCTGGAGGAGAACCTGAATCACTACTGGAAAGAGATGAACACCGACGCAGCAGCGGAGTTGTGCGATTTGCCCTCGATTTGAACCAGACTGAGTAGTATTTTGAAAATCACATGCACACACACACACACACACACACACACACACACACACACACACACACACACACACACACACACACACACGCATGTCTGAAATAGTTTTTGAGCTGTTTGGCCCGTGGCATTATTGAAAAGGTGCTATATAATTTTTCTTGTTTTATGCATTGTATTTCAAAGCTGTATCAACAATAATACAAGAAAAACGCCATAAAGTGCTCATATCCCATCTAAAGAAACCTGTATACAGTTATAGTGTAAATAAAAGCTCAACACTTGCAGACTGAAGTATTGTTTTGAAATGTATGTTTTGTGGCAAGTAATTTTTAGCGGGAAAACTTTTATAATAGTGTTGTTGAAACATGAAGGCTTGATGCCAGTGGGATCTTCTGTGTTATCAGACACTTAACAAACTAGGGCATTTTTATACATAGTGGATAGTTAATAAGTAGATTTGGATAGCGGGACAAAATGAAATAAATTCTTTTGGAAATTAATTTTTTTTTAAATCCATGGGAGTTGATGAGAATTCACTGAAATATTTGGGAAAGCTAATAACAGTAACATAGACTACATTACACTTTGAGGATAAATATTTAAAAACATTGTTTTGTCATCAATTCATGTGAAAATCGTAATTCATGTAAATACATACATGCTGAACGAACGAGACCTATTTTTCGATGTGCAGAGGACTATTATGAAATGTCTTTATTGTAGATCAGTCACTATATATATATATATATATATATATACATACATATTTTAGAGATAAGTGAAACAGACACAATGACAGCTCTTGTTGGCACGGAGAACTTGATGTCACAGTCCATGTTGCTCCTCATTACTATGATCTGCGTTCATCACCACAGTTCACACAATGTGCTCTCCGCTTCCTCACAAAGTTGATACAGCGTGTTTGTAAGTTTTCAGAAATTGTTACGATTGTGCAGCAAGACGCTCTCGATCTGGAGGGACAATGGAGAATGGATATCGGTCTCAGGCACTCTCTTTGCTCACAAATGATTTAAAATGCAAAGAACTGGGCCAAAAGTGGGGGGAGGGTCACACAATACACTCCACTCGCTATGTACTCTGTACTGTATGTGTGAGAATGAGTCGGTATGATTCTCACATAAAAATTATGAATTTTACTTTTTGAAATTAACTACAGAAATAAATAAACTTCTCATGGAATTTTGATTTGTTAACCCTTTCATACACAAATAATGATTTTTTTTTTCTCAAGTGTTTTTATTCGTCTTTATGGCATGAAAAAAAAATAATGGCAGTGAATGGCAACACAAATAAGGGTCCATTTTAGTGGTTGATACACAACTGTGACATTAAAACTCATTAAAATAAGAGAAAATAGCATCTGAATCGCTGTCTACTCGAGTAGTGGGTGACGATTGCCAAATGTCCGTGTGTGCGTGAGTGGGTTTGAGTGAGTGACATACAGTATGTACCGGTACTGCTTTTACAATTTGAAACTAAAGCTATAGCTTCCCCCGGTGGTCAATTTAAGACACGACAATCTGAAATCGAAACATTTCTCCAGGGAATTCCAGTACTGTATATGACGAAATTCAGCTTTTTCGGGCACCGACATAAAGTGATTCCAGTACAGTATATTGTTTAATTATCATAATTTAACCTAACCTTTAGATTGTTATGTTTTGTTTTGTTTCATTTTTACACATTGATCAACATTATAAAGAGTTGGACAGAGATTTTTTTAAAAAAATCCAAGCAGTCTAAAAATAAATCGATCAACATTGTGAACAGAGAAACAATAACTGTCATGAAATTGGAAACTGACTGTTTTTATTTTAAGCTATAATAGGTAAACATGAAAACATTTACAGCACTATGCATACAAAATCTCTGCTATGACAGATGTAAAATGTTTCATCTGTTATAAAAACTGTGTATAAGAATGAATTTATGTGTATAATAAGAATCAGGACTTTGATTCTTAAAAATCATATGCATCCATTTGTTTAGGAGCGTGGGAAGCTGGAGCTTATTTCAGCTGACTCCAGCCACTTGAACTGGTTGAGAAAAATGACTCATCACATTCACAGTCATAGTGCAAACTGAAGCCACACTGCCTGGATGGATGTCAAAAAGGAAATCGAAACATTTCTCCAGGGAATTCCGGTATACGACGAAATTCAGCTTTTTCGGGCACCGACACAAAGTGATTCCAGGACAGTATATTGTTTAATTATCATAATTTAACCGAGCCTTTAGATTATGTTTTGTTTTGTTTTGTTTTTACACATTGATCAACATTATAAAGAGTTGGACAGAGATTTTTTTAAAAAAATCCAAGCAGTCTAAAAATAAATCGATCAACATTGTGAACAGAGAAACAATAACTGTCATGAAATTGGAAACTGACTGTTTTTATTTTAAGCTATAATAGGTAAACATGAAAACATTTACAGCACTATGCATACAAAATCTCTGCTATGACAGATGTAAAATGTTTCATCTGTTATAAAAACTGTGTATAAGAATGAATTTATGTGTATAATAAGAATCAGGACTTTGATTCTTAAAAATCATATGCATCCATTTGTTTAGGAGCGTGGGAAGCTGGAGCTTATTTCAGCTGACTCCAGCCACTTGAACTGGTTGAGAAAAATGACTCATCACATTCACAGTCATAGTGCAAACTGAAGCCACACTGCCTGGATGGATGTCAAAAAATGTGAACCAATGACTGTAAAAATATACTGCTCCAAAAAATAAAGGGAACACTCAAACAGCACTATGTAATTCCCAAGTGTTCCCATTTATTTGGTGGGGGGTGGGGGGGAGCAGTTTATTACTTATATCTTTGTGGAAGGGTACTACATAGTTGTTTTTGCTTTTAAATGAAATATGAATTAAATCCGTATTTATTTCTCCATTTTTGACCACTCTTAATTGAAGTAGTCTACCGTCAGTGTTTCATAACGCAGGTGGAATCCTTGATCCTTGAGACCCCCAAAAGTCTGTATAGACATGTATAGACTGACCACTACTTTAGAAAACGATTATATTTATCAAATTGTAACATGACGACGGTTCAACAAATGTATGTTGGCATGTTTCCAACTCTAAAAGTCTAATTAGGAAATATGACATAGTGCAAAGGCTTTGCAAATTCAATCAAGAACAGAAGTTATCAGGGAAACAAACTACTAATGTGCAAATCTTGTAACGCGGAGACTTAAGCGTTGAACTCAATATCGGTGATGTTCAGTGGCTTGGATTTGGGATTGAAGTTATAATGTCCAATGCGATTCCTTTGATAGTAGAAGAGACAAGCAGAGCCAATGACGAAGAAGAGCACCACAGCAACTCCAAGGAAGGACAGTCCGATCAGTTGGAGTCTGTCATTTTCACTCTCCGGGGGCACTTATTCGGCAATTCAAAATGAAATGAAACAGAAAACAAGACATCACGTCAGCAGACAGTTGTTATTTCAAAGGATTGCCAAAGTATGAGAGGACTGCATAATCATCCCTGAGTGCCTCCAAGTCACACTTTCAAGACCACATCACTTCAATTCACTTAAAGAGGCACAATGGAATTAATTTTAACACCATTTCCATCGCTGTTGCCCTCAATGGAGAAATGGGTCAGGTTTTAATACTTCTTTCCAGTGAAGTTCACATAAAAATATATCACATCTGTTTGAGTGAGAGAGTGTAGACGTGTCTACATTGTCTCTGGTCTTATTTTCGGATACAGCATATATATGTTGAAATATCTTCCGTGTTTAACCCTTTGAGGGACAGCGGTTACTACAGTGGACAGGGTTAAAAGCTATCCTTTTGTCCGTTAATCTTGATTCAAACCTGTTGTACAGCAGTTGCCCAGCACTCACCTTCTTCCGATTTAAGCAGAGGCCCAGTCGAACCGAATGCTCTTCCAATGGTGTTGGAAGACCAAGCTGTTCTTCGCACACAGTCCTAAATAAAAAGAACAAGCAAATGTGTTTTAAAGGAAAAAAAAAAAGGGGGCGGGGTTGAACTATGAATGCAGTCACGCTCACGGGCACGCAGATATCAGATCCGATCTGCAAACAGATCTGCACGTGGCAGTGCAGATAGATCAAATTGACGTCGACAAAGGAGAATATCTGCACAGACACACGAGATGTGCTGGAATTTCCATTCATCAACACATCAGTGTACATGTTGAGGGCACATCTGTAGGGCACAGACATGAGCATGTTGAAAATATGTCCCGAGACTCTGATTTAGGGGTAAACCTCACATCACACAAAGGAGGGTTTTAGTCATAGTACGACTGACTGAAACATTCATAAAAATACAAAAGTGGAATATTTTAGGAATGTAAACAAGTCAGTCTACCAAGACTTGCCTTCCTGGTAAACACCGAACTGACTCATGCGTGACATCTTAGCTATCCTATAGAAACACTTTTTAGTAGTTTGCATTGCGTTCCAAATGATGATGCAAACAATATTTTTCTGCGATTGTCCTTAATAGTCAATGCAAATGACACTCAGCATAATTATTTTCAAGTCATCAACCTTTCAAGTGCCCGAAAACTGCTGAGGTAGGATCCAGCATGCCCGCGACCCTCGTGAGGATGAAACGGTTTGGATAATGGTTGGATGGCGTATCTATGGTTCCCAGAATACTTTGCATGGTGCAATGCAATTAATTAATAAAGTTATAAAGATGTTAATCCTTGTCATATGTGTTTGTGTTACGAGAAGTTGAAGGTGTCATATTTACTACACTTGTGTTTGATTTGTGTTGTATTATGCCTATAGTTTTGTTTTATATAATCCCCCCCACCCCCCAACAAACCATGACTTTAGGTCGTGTGTAAAATAGTAGTATTCAAGTCAATTGCTTGTACCACTGGAACGGCTCATCTGAGCATTGCCAGTACGAATTAAGGAATTATAATGTTTTAATTCATATATTATCAGAAAGCTCCTTTCAGCAATTTTCATCAAATGTATTTAGGCTAGCAATGTTAGCTGGAGTTATGAGCAAGATTTATGAGACCTGTGTTACTTGGGGCGGCCCGGTAGTCCAGTGGTTAATGTGTGGACCTCACAGTGAACAGGTTGTGGGTTCGATCCCGGCTTCGGCCTCCCTGTGTGGAGTTTGCATGTTCTCCCTGAGCTTATGTGGGTTTTCTCCGGGTACTCCAGTTTCCTCCCACATTCCAAAAACATGCAGAGCAGGCTGATTGAGCACTCAAAATTGCCCCTAAGTGTGAGTGTGAGCACGAATGGTTGTTCGTCTCTGTGTGCCCTGCGATTGGCTGGCAACCAGTTCAGGGTGTCCCCCGCCTACTGCCCAAAGACAGCTAGAATTGGATCAGGCACACCCCGTGACCCTTGTGAGGAGAAAGCGGATCAGAAAATGGATGGATGGGTGGACAGTGTTACTTGAGAATGTCTTAACATTGGCTATTTTTAATTGGTCAATCATTTTTATAATTTACAAAACCTTTCACGTGCTCTATTCTATCCAATTCTGAGAACTTGCTCCGGCCCACCGGCTGTACGTTTGATACCACTGTTTTAAATTCTGGAAAACCTTGGCTTTGAAGTTAATCATCCATTCATCCATCCATTTTCTGATCTGCTCATCCTCACAGGGGTCGCGGGGTGTGTTGGAGCCTATCCCAGCAATTTTCGGGCACTAGGTGGCTTACACCCTGAACTGGTTGCCAGCCAATTGCAGGGCAGACATAGACAAACAACCATTGGCGCTCACACTCACACCGAGGGACAATTTAGAGTGTTTCGTTAAACTGCCATGCATATTTTTTTGGAATGTGTTATGAAACCGGAGTACCCGGAGAAAACCCACGCAGGCCCAGGGATAACATGCAAACTCCACACAGGGAGGCCGCAGTTGGAATTGAACCTGGTACCTCTGCACTGTGAGGCCAACACGCTAACCACTGAACCGACGGGCCACCGTTAAGTTAATCAACAATAGACAAAAAGAAATTCTGGTAATTTATTCATCTTTACAGTGAAGGTGTTCCCGTGAACTGAGTGCAGTCTTAGTTTCTGATAGCCTACACCTTGTTTGACCAAGTTCTCCATTTGGGAACAGGAGCTAAGGCTACCGGTATTTATTTTTTTCTGTACTGTTTTCTTGCTCACCTTTCTCATAAGCCTCTGCACTCTTTGTGAACAAGTAGATGCTTGCTTGGTCGCAGCGTCACAGCTCTGCCACGAGTTGCCGTGGTAATGAAAGCCCATTTTAGACCAGGGGGCGAGTGAGCAGTGCCTCACTAGCGTAAGACAGAACCTCCCCTCAAAACCGATACGTGGATTGTTCGAAGTGGATATTTCTGTGCTATGCTTATTCATTGCTAGTATGTGTATTAAGAATGTATATTAAGACACATGGAAACTGCTTAAAATAGTGGGTGAAAATGCATAATAAAGGTGAGATCAACTTCAATGACACACCCAAAAAAAAAACATTAGTGTTGTTGCGATTACCTGTTGTCCAGGAAGACAAAACGTTTGTTGTCCAGCGGATTTTGGGTGGGGGTAGCCCAGCACGAGTAGATCACGACTTTGATCTCTTCTGCTGAGGTATTCATGCTCACTTCTACTACTACAGCCTCCTCAGGGGATAAGCTATAGTTATAAGGTAGAGGAAAGGTACCGTTCAGCAGTTGTACTGTCACCTGGAACATCCCCGCACTTGTGATCACATCTTGGATCAATTCATATCTGGAACAATGACAGAAAAAAAAACATTTACTATATTACGCAAAATGAATGTCCATTCTACATGCATTGTTTGAAACAAGTTAATTATTTCATTATCGGTGGGAAGCTGAAACCGATCCCAGCTGTCTTTGGGCAAGAGACTAGGCACACCATAATCTGGAGGACTTCACCCATGAAGAAATAAGACAAAAGCTACAACTGTACTTCTTCATCTTTGAAGGAAATGCCACATTTACAGTACTGACAAGTCACACTGTCCGCAGAAAAAAAAAAAATTTTACTGTATTACGCAAAAAGAATGTTCATTCTACATGCATTGTTTGAAACAAGTTAATTATTTCATTATCGGTGGGAAGCTGAAACCGATCCCAGCTGTCTTTGGGCAAGAGACAAGGCACACCATAATCTGGAGGACTTTACCCATGAAGAAATAAGAGAAAAGCTACAACTGTACTTCTTCATCTTTGAAGGAAATGCTACATTTACAGTACTGACAAGTCACACTGTCAAAAGATTGTCCGCTTTCAAAAAGAAACTCATCGCATTGTATCCTCTTGAACTCAGTGAATCAAATTGAATCAAATCGTTCCACTTTAAAATATGCCGCCCTTGAATAGAATTTATTGAGAAACGTATCCAATATTTTTTTATTAGAAGTTCACAAGAGCAAAAATCTTGACACGAATTAAACCATCAAAATACTTTTTGATCACTTTGCAGTACTGTACTTCCAAAGCACAGGCCTTTATTGAGCTACGAGGGAAGTAAGGACGTACCCCATGGAGCCAAAATCAGCAGACATGAGCATACTCCTCGTGTAGGTACAGATTATGGGAACTTCCAGGCGCAATTTGGGTGCCTCCAGTGTTACCGCCCTTGAATAGAATGTATTGAGAAACGTATCCAGTCTTCTTTTATTAGAGTGTTGGTTAAGATCACAAGAGCAAAAATCTTGACATGAATTAAACCATCACAAGACTTTTTGATCACTTTGGAGTACTGTACTTCCAAAGCACAGGCCTTTATTGAGCTGCTAGGGAAGTAAGGACGTACCCCATGGAGCCAAAATTAGCAGACATGAGCATACTCCGCGTGTAGGTACATATTACAGGAACTTCCAGGCGCAATTTGGGTGCCTCCAGTGTTCCGTTGGATGACGTGTATGTGTCCATGGTGTTGAACAACATTGCAGAGGCCATGTAGTAGGACTCATTCTAAAATAACAAAAACAATGGTAGGGGTTATTAACATATTTAAAGCACTGTATAAGAGAGCACTAAAAACAAAGGGATTCAAATCATATATGATAACTCACTTGAGTAAAAATCGTGACACACTCGTTCCACTCCACGATCAGCTGAGCATGGCTAGCATTGAACCCGCTGACCCCGCACTCCTGATGGCCGAGGTGCAGAGTGTCCTCCCTGATGTTGTTCTTAACAAGAAACTCTCTCGCTATTGTCACTGTGATGCCTGTAACTTTGCAATCCACTGAAATATCACCAAGAATTGGAGACATCCTATGGGACGTATCATTGGACGTCAGGTCTAAATTAGGGACAGTGTGTTGAGTCCTGTAAGTTTTGGGTGGTGTTGTAGTTTCTGATGCATGAGGGGCTGTTTCAATGGTGCTGGTTATTGGTTGCAAAGTGCTCGTTGGCATTCTGGTGGAGATTGTTGCCACATTCGTGGGAGTTATTACTTCAGCAGAAGTGGATGTAGTCGGTGCAATGAATTTGGATGTAATTGCTGTTGTTGATATATTGGAAGTGGTTATTGGTACCTCAGTGGCAGTTGTTGGTACCATAGCGGTGGTTGTTGGTGAGCTTGTGGCGGTTGTATAGGGGCAGTGTGTTGAATCCTGGAAGTTGTGGGTGGTGTTGTAGTTTCTGATGCATGAGGGGTTGTTGCAATGGTGCTGGTTGTTGGTTGCAAAGTGCTTGTTGGCATTCTGGTGGAGATTGTTGCCACATTCGTGGGAGTTATTACTTCAGCAGAAGTGGATGTAGTCGGTGCAATGAATTTGGATGTAATTGTGGTCGTTGATATATTGGAAGTGGTTATTGGTACCACGGTGGCAGTTGTTGGTATCATAGCGGTGGTTGTTGGTAAGCTTGTGGTGGTTGTAGGTGGAGTGGTTGTAGTTGGTGCTACCAAGGTGGTTGTTTGTACCATGGTGGCAGTTTTTGCTGGGATAGAGAGGGATGTTGATGGGCTCGTGGTAGCTATTTCAGTAGAGGTGATTGTCTCGACGGTGGTCCCAATAATATACAGAGCTGGATACGTTGATGTTATTTTTTGAGGTAAAAGAGAAGTGCTGACTGAAGATAATGTGATAGGTGTTGATTGCAATGTTGTGGTTTCCATTGTAGCTGCACAAGAGAAAACATTGTAGTTAAAAAAAAGTGAATAGAAACATAAGCACCAATTATTGTACCGGTGTGTGTGGTTACTGGAGGCATGGAACGAACACACTATGCTTTTCCTCACTTCCTTTGTATTTGAACATGAAATGCGCACATTCAGATATTTGAATGATGAAATCTTTGATGATTATTGAATTGAAAAAGAAAATCAATGTAAAGTATGGACCATCCACCCATGCATCCATTTTCTGAGCCAGTTATCCTCACGATAGTTGCGGGCATGCTGTCTTTGGGCAGTAGGCGGGGGCACACCCTGAGTTGGTTGCCAGCCAATCCAGGGCACACAGAGACAAACAACCATTCACACTCACAATCACACCTAGACACAATTTAGCTATTCATGAACCTACAGCAATGCATGTTTTTTGGCATGTGGTGAAGAAACCAGATAATTAAAGCAAAAGGTAAATATCCACATTCTTTTATTATTTTCAGTGATAAAACATTCCAGGATAATGATTTGAATGGCTTGTACCAATACTATTCAAACCAAAAGTTCAGGTGTCATATTAGTCTCGTTTTCATGTTGACAGCCTTCAATTTTACAAGTGGATGTGTACTTTGTTTTGCCTACGGGTCCATAATTATCTTGTAGTGAATGCAGCAATACCACACTGTGAGACACTACCTTGACAGGTTCTCCCAGGCCTTTGTGGTTCTGTGTCCATAAATCCATCTAGACAGGAACATGTGTAGGAGCCCCAAGTGTTTGTACACATCGCCCACTGGGAACAATCATTTTCCCCGGGGACACATTCATCAAAATCTACAAGAACAAACAAACACGACACAATTTTCACTCATGGCTGAGAGTATCTTTCACATTTTATGTTCTATTACCTCTCTGAGCTCCTCCGCCCCGACGCACACGCCCGGTGCGTCAGGTCTGCGGACCAGACACTATTAGAGGTCCTGAGAACTAAGCGGAGGCTCAGAGGAGATCGAGCCCTTTCCGTTGCTGGTCCCTGTCTTGGGATGACCTCCAGCGTTCAGCGAGGCCCCTCGTTGTCCATCTTTAAAACTCATCTTAGAACTCATTTTTATTCTTTGGCTTGTGACTCAGCATGAGAGCTTATTTTTAGTTTTACTATTTTTGTGCTTTCTGCTGTCTTTGTTATTAATTTATTGTTTTGTTTGTTGTTGAAGGAATTCTTTTTTTTCCATGTACAGCACTTTGTATACAGCGGTGGTAGTTTTAAAATGCTCTATAAATACAGTTGAGTTGAGCTGAGTTGAGAAACAGTGGCTGCAGCACACTCAAGACATGGAAATTGTAAATTAGGCATCCAAAATGCTTAACTTTTGCAGTACAATTACTACAAAGTATAATGAAACTCCCCGCTTAATCTACTCTCTATTATGGAAATCTTAAAAGTAAGCTCAGACAGTTTGAAGCTATCAGTGACATAATGGTGTTAATCGACCTATATCGACCAACTCATCGTTCCCTATTGAAATGAAGGGAAATGCTATTGATCCGTTCCAGCATCCACCCCTATAAATAATTTTAAAAACCATTGTGATGTGTTTTTAATAAGGGAAGTACCACTTCATTAAATTTGCGCCTTTTAAAAAAAATAGCCATGACATGAACAAATAGTGTGTAAAAGAATCAAACAGTTTCTGTATCGTGATTAATTCATTCTGGCTCCCTCAGTGACTCCTAGCCTTTTCATTTTATTTTAAAGTGCACCATAGGCCAATACAATGTTGTGTTTTGTTACAGGTCAGACTTTGGACTTGCCTGCTTTAGGTATACTAGAACGCTGTCAGAATGTAAAGACACATACCAGTGATGCTTGTGTTGTTTTCATCCATTGTGTATATGGAGCTGTTCCTCAGTGAATCGAGTAGTGCTGTGGAGGTGTTTCTGATGTCCTGTTCTTGACCGGGGCTGAAGATCACGGTGAAGTCGACCACCACACTACCCGGGGAAAGGTTTCGGATCTCAATTCTTACCTGACCTGAATTAACCATCATCTTTAAATCTTGATCTAGAGATCGGTAGATCTGCAAGGAAACATTCCCACTGTCACAATGTTTGCTGTGACATCCACGTTCAGTTGGTCAATTGTACACATGATGCACTACCTCGTCCAAAATGCCCGCAGTGAGATTTTTGTAGGCCTGGCTGCTAGTGTTGTGCAAGTCATTGGTGAACGGGATGTTGGTTAGTCGAGTGCTGGCATCGAGAGTTTGAGCATCTACAAAGAAATGGTTGTCAGTTAATTTCATGATCGATTAATGGTGTTCCAATATTAACCCAGGTTAAAACCAAGTTCAAGGATAAAGAATAGGGGCACACATTTCAAAATCTTTACAGCCCAGTCCACTGCTCCCCACACCTTGATTTTGATGACAGACAGAAAAACACAAAATTAAAAAAAAAAATTAAAATAGAACTCCCTGTGTCTCCATGTTGTCAGCTTATTGCTTTTCAGAAGGCCAACATTTCTGCGTTTAAAATCCTTTTTGGTTGGTCATATGAAATATTCAAATTTTGTGAAATGCTGGAATTTTTGTGTGTGTGTCTCTCTGCCATAATCTTCAACACTGAAACAAATAAAGGCTTGAAATATTTAACTTTGCGTGTGGTCAACTAATATATACACACAAATTTCACTTTTTTAAAAACAAACTATCAAAATAAATGGACTTTCTTTGATATTCTATTTTTGGGGGGGGGGCACCTACCTGTACTTAGTAATGAATGTATTTACATAATTGATGGGTAGGCAGGCATTTAAGAGACCCTTGTATCCAATCAATTCAAGTCAATTTACCATAAAGTGCCAGTCAATCCAGATTTGACTACTTTCGTTTAGTATTATTGTGTTGGAGTCTCCATGTTGTCATCTTATTACTTTTCAGAAGGCCAACATTTCCGTGTTTAAAAACCTTTTTGGTTTGGTGAAATATTCAAATTTTGTGAAATGCTGGAATTTTTGTGTGTGTGTCTCTCTGCCATAATCTTCAACACTGAAACAAATAAAGGCTTGAAATATTTAACTTTGCGTGTGGTCAACTAATATATACACACAAATTTCACTTTTTTAAAAACAAACTATCAAAATAAATGGACTTTCTTTGATATTCTATTTTTGGGGGGGGGGCACCTACCTGTACTTAGTAATGAATGTATTTACATAATTGATGGGTAGGCAGGCATTTAAGAGACCCTTGTATCCAATCAATTCAAGTCAATTTACCATAAAGTGCCAGTCAATCCAGATTTGACTACTTTCGTTTAGTATTATTGTGTTGGAGTATACTGAAATAAAGTAAGCTAATTTAAAAAAAAAAGAAAAGAAAAAAAACTAGACATACTATCCCCCCATCCTCTAGACTCTGCCATAATCTTCAACACTGAAACAAATAAAGCCTTGAAATATTTAACTTTGTGTGTAGTCAACTAACATATGCACACAAATGTCACTTTTTTAAAACAAACTATCGAAATTAATGGACTTTCTTTGATATTCTATTTTTTTTGGGGGGGGGGGCACCTACCTGTACTTAGTAGTGAACGTTTTTACATAATTGATGGGTAGGCTGGCATTTAAGAGACCCTTGTATCCAATCAATTCAAGTCAATTTACCATAAAGTGCCAGTCAATCCAGATTTGACTACTTTCGTTTAGTATTATTGTGTTGGAGTATACTGAAATAAAGTAAGCTAATTTAAAAAAAAAAGAAAAGAAAAAAAACTAGACATACTATCCCCCCATCCTCTAGCAAAAAAAAAAAACAACAAAAAAAAACACATAGACACAATGATATTAGAGACCCTTGTAATCGTCAGACATTGGTCAACACCAAAACAAATCATATAATAAACAATTCAGGTTTGTATGAACGGTCCTCACCAGTTTTGACTGCAATATAAAGAATATCTCCATGGCTTTCATTTGTGTGGAGTTTAACAGTGACATTGTAGAGCACCCCCGGCTGCAGTTCCCTCAGTTCCGTCGTGGTCTGTTCAGTTGTCCACATACTAATAACCTCTGAGCCCTCACTAAGAACCACCAAGTAACTCTGGTTGGCTGAGATTAAGCTGGACCAGTACACACAAAAAGAAGTGCCAGTGATGTTGGCAGCCTGTAATCTGCTGATGCTGGGGGAAGCTGGAAAAGGGCAGAGAGTGAAAGAGAGCACAATTAAGACTCCTAAACCAGAGAATTGACAGAATGAGATAATAATATCTTTCATACACATCGAAGTTGTTGTCAGAGTCAGAGGCAGCCCATCGGTTGAGAAAGTAGGTCCGTACGTTGTACTTTGAAAGACGATGCTTGCGTTCAAAGGAGACATAGTCATGTTTTCAGCTAATTCGTTGAAGCTAACCACGGTGCTGTTGCGTTCAGTCTGAGGTGAGGTTATATTGATTGGGAAAGGGCAACATTGTGGGGCCTCTGTAGTGGCAGGCATGGGGATGGCATTTGGCACTAAAAAACAAGAATATAGTGAGTGATGAAGAATTACAACAATTAATGTAGACAAGAGGACAGTATGCAGTTATATACAGTATACAGTACCATACCATGCGAAAGTGATGCCACCTGACCATTTTCAAAATAATTTTGATTTTTTTTTATGACTAGCAGCAGCTCACCAGTAAGGACTTATGATGCCACAAATTCTAAATTTATTTCCACAAACCAGTGTTGGTGCATGAGCAACAACAACTTTAAATTCTTTTGCCAGTTTCCACAGTTTTGAGAAACATTGCTTTAACTAAAAAGTTGTTTCACTAAAAGTGTAGTCCGTAATAACCACGGTCATGCTAACCTGCACAATGAGTTCCGGGATTGCTGGGGTCAACATCAATATATCCTGCATGGCAGACGCACTGGTAGGAGCCCACCGTGTTGTTACATTGTGCCAGTGGAGAGCACTGATGGAGAGCAGGATGTGCACACTCATTTACATCTACAAAGATGAAGAGACAGACATGAAAGGGTAATACTGACAATTACAATAACATTGAAAGACACTGCGACCCGCAATATAGCTAAGACCAAAATTATTCACGCCCTAGCTAAATTTTATTTATTTGTTTTATTTTTGCCACCTTATCACAGGACACATTGAGACAACCATTCACAGGCACAGTTTATTGACAGTTTAGAACAGAGGTCGGCAACCTGCGGCTCAAGAGCCCAATGCGGCTCTTTAGCGCCACCCTAGTGGCTCCCTGCAGCGTTTTCAAAAATGTTTGAAAATTGAAAAAGATCGGGGACGGAAATATATTTTTTGTTTTAATGTGGTTTCTGTAAGAGGACAACAGACATGACACAAACATTCGTAACGTTTTCCTGTAAAAAATGTATAGAACACATATTAAATTTCAACATTTCTGTCAACGAGTATTTGCGTCATAGCCTGCGACACACGTTTCTATTAGCAGGGCAGGATGTAAGTCAGGAGGCTGTTGTAAAAAAATAAAATAAAATAAAACAGCGTCTCAGGTACAATTCACCGAGGGTGCTGGCAAAAAAATGGGAATCTGGAGGTCCGATCGAAGCATTTTTAAACAGTACACGTGAGCTACGAACGTTAACATGCTGCAAAAGTGTGTCCCATGCCTCGTTCATTTTAGGGGCCGTTATGGCTGTTGCTCATTATCGCATGCGTGTGTACGTGCGTGCGAATGCGCTCGGGTGTGCTAACGGGTCGATCGCGGGAGGTTGGTTGTCCGAAAAGTAGATCTTCGGTCAAAAAAGGTTGGGCACCCCTGCTCTCCAATTACACTGCAGGGGGAAAAAATATTTTAATCAAGAAGGCTCATTGTGTATTTGTAGCCAATTTAGTCATTTTGATAGTAGGCTAATATAGCTAATATCGATACATACAGCATGTGTTGCCTTCATTATAAGGCTTACATAAGGCTTTTATTTTTTTGCAACTCATAGATGTTTGTTTTTGGGCGGTTTTCCAATATGGCTCTTTCAACATTTTGGGTTGCCGACCCCTGGTTTAGAATCTTCACTTAACCCAACACCACCTGTACACATTTTGGAGCATGTTAGAGGAAACACAATCATTATTTTATAGACAAAAATGTCTAAATAACAAAGTCCTTCTATACTCTTTGAAACAGAAGCAAATGAATCGTCACCAAAATAACTTGATTTCCATTCTGGTATGTGTTTGTTGAGGTGGCTACTACTGCATTCATAATACGTATGGCTGTCTGACTTGTGAGCAATCTGTGTATGTGGGGGAGGGGGAATATGTGTGACTAACTCGGGTGTTATTTTCTGCCATCGCAGGAAACATCGCACAGAAGACGGTCGCTCGAATAGAAGCGGTGGGAGAAGGAAGCTGTGGTGCGACTGAGTCATTCTTTCCTGACCGCTATGTTCTGTACAAGTATCACACGCTACAAGAATGTCGCTTCTATGAAGGAACACAAGTCAAGTCATGAGTGGCCTTGCCTCTGCTTGTCCTCCTCACCTTCCACTGTCACGTCTGATACCTCCTGTACGTGTTTGAGAAGGAAATGCAGCTTTGATTTGATGTCGTGCAGTGAAAGAACAAAGCTGCATTCGAGCAGCAGCGACGTGCCAGTTCTGTACGGATGCACAGGCCTTGAGGCGAGGTAATAGAGTGAAAAATTAACAGAC